TAGGGTTTAGGGAATAGGGAATAGGGTATAGGGTTTAGGGTGTAAGGGAATTAGCAAGGATTAGGGGTTTAGGGTTTGGTAAAAAGGTTGAGGGGTGTAGGGTTCAAGGGTTAGGGTCTAGGGAGGATTTCAGGGGCTTTGGCGCGTTGTAGGGTTCATGTAGGGACATATGAGCTGTAGTCTAAACTCCTTAAAGGGGGTTATATTGGAGATAGATAGGCGATTACTATAGGGGATATTAAGGGGGATACTAGGAGTCTAGATTATAGGTTATAGGACGTATGGGGTTCTAGGTGGAATTTTGGGTTTTTAAGGGCTGTATGATACGGCCCTGGGTTTCTATGGAACATGCAACGGAGACTGTGATGCTCCCGGGGCATGCTTTTTGATTTACTGGCGCTTCAGTTTGAGCTACTGCTGCTTGAGGGGAAGTTCAGGATTTGCAGCAGAAAAACGTCCACGCTTTGGGGTTTAGGGTGGCTTGCTGGTGCTTGAGGTGGAGTGACGGAGTGAATGTGGGGGTCATCATAGAGGCTCTATACCCTGAACTCATTATGCGTGGCATGTATAGGGATCAGGGTAGAGGGTTTGTAGGGGTTCATGTAGGGCTTACTTTCGATTTTGTAGGGTTTAGGTTGCAGAATTTGTAGGGTTCTGAAGATTGGTGGTTAGCGTTTGGGGTTTAGGGTCACTTATGTGGAGGGGCCATCAAGGGGTTTTGTAGGTATTGCTTGCAGTTTGGGGTCTACATACGGGATTATGTGGCAAGAAATGTGAATATACCCAAGTCCTCCCACGACCCTCTCTCACAGGTAACTGGGCCTGGTGACCGGAATAAGGGGCTTTCAGTCCCCACCCCACCCAATTCCAGTAACCATTTCTGGACACCTCCAAATCAGGAACCATACAAGTAAGAACCATAAAGATAGCACCTCCAATCTTGGCCTTCAGCTGCTCAGAACCACATGTGCTGAGCAAGAAATATGCCTATATTGTGGCAAGCTTTCCTGAAACTGTGGGATGCCCACCCTAAACCCTAACAAAACCCTAAACCCATCTAACTTCGCTGTAGAGGCCGAGTAAAACCCCTGGATCTTAAAGCCTCAAACTCCTAAAACCTAATTTCATGCGACTCCACAGTCATATTCTGATCTCCAATGTTGCTCACGTGGGACCAGGCCTCCGGCCATAGGATTGTATTCCCTTATACGTAGGGTTTGGAAATAAATGTTTCGGGAGTCATATATGTGTATTCAAGGCTAAGGGCTGTAAAATGGGTCTGGGAGATTCTGGATTGAATTTGATGTTGAGCGCTCATATGGCCCAAAGGCCGATATAATTTAACCTCTACAGCTCCAACGCTAGATATCCGAAGAAATAACCTGATGTCCGAGCCCGCCATGTTTTTCATGCACGCCGCAGATCCGCAGGCTTCTCAGTCAGCACCCTGCAGGGCTTCAGGGATTTGATGGAAGGGTTTCAGGGGTTAGAGATTTGGACCTTAAGACGTTGATTGCCATCGATCCCACCTGAGCAGGCTCCGTCGCAAAACCCGGTGTTCGAATCCCTTGCAGCCTTTTGCTTTGACGCAAATTGGTTTCAGGAGCCCTAAGGAGTCCTCCTGCGAGTAGCAGTGATAATGCCGCGAATTGTACCCTTGGCTGCGCATGCTTACACTATAATTGTGCAAGGTATTAATGTGGATTTCGAGGGCTATGCAACTGCAATAATATAATAGCCTGGGCACGTTCGGAGAGCACATCTCGTAGCACTTCTTCGAAGGCCTTATAAGATCTAGATCGCTACTGATTGATTCCATTCCGGAAGGCTTTTAGGGTTTTACGGGTTTCCTGATGAGGCCTAGGGCGCATTCAGAAATTGTGAAATTGAAAAGCATGCAATTGCAAGCGAAGCTCATGGAGTTTGGGCCGTAGGAGAAATCTTACTTGACCTCGTGCACAAAAGCGACGTGCGCATTCGCCGTACAGCTTGAGAAATATCATGCCAGATCCAAATAGGTCCGTTGCTTCAGCCTCCGACAAATATCGACCAGCCGTTTCAGTCTTGAGCTGCCAAGCCGCGATTGCATGCCTTATACTCACTACCCCCTAACTACCCCTAGACTCTTGAACCCTATATGCTATCGCTCAAAGCCCAAACACTAAAAACCATGCAGCCGACACCCTATAGGGGCTCCAAGTTTGATCTATCATGTCCTGACCAGTTTGGGTTTAAATGTTAAGAGCTATGTGGGAAAATACACTCAACCTAAAACCCTATAGATCCTAGACACCAAGCCCAAAAACTGGACCAAAACCTTAAATTCTAGACCTAAATCCTAAACCCTGAACCCAAAAAGTATACTTTAACCTCACGCCCCAAGAGCAATTATTACCGATTACAGTCCCAAGACTCCCCAAGCACAAACCCTTAGAGTAATAAGCCTGGGCTCAGCATCGTTGTGATCAGGTCGGAAAGCTCAAAACGTTCGGCATGTTGGTGCTCATCTTCGTCGGCCAGTCGGGCCCTGAAAATCGCTTGAGTCGAGGGTGCCGTCATGCATTCCTTTAAAGCTCGATTTCTTGGGTTTTCGACAATATAGGGCTTAACCCTAGAGGATCAATATATAGGGCCCTAAACTTTCAATAATCTCTGGCCTACAAAGGCATTAGGGCTTCCCAGCTAATAATTTTTAGATGTGAGGGCACTACAGATCGATAGGTTGCGTTTGCACGAAAACCTGCTGCGAAAAGTATAAACCCTAAACCCACAATGCTATACCAATATCCAATTAAGCATCTGATAGCCAAGCCAAAATGACACGGCAATTGAAAGCTTTCGCGCTGAGGTATGGGAAATCAGGGCTTTGCGCATTCAAGTGCAGGTTCGCTGACGTAAAACGTCGTTGGGAGCAGGATAGCCGATTCATCCTGAGGAACCTCTGAAATTCATTGTATGCACATCGGAGCTGATCATCCACAACATCGGTCCCGCCATACACCTTGTGTTCAATCAGCCACAATATCCCCTCCGCCGCAACGTTTTGCAGCACTCCAAGATTCAATATATGCATAGTACATGCCCTCCTGAGCAGGGATAGGGGACGCATAGTATCATGAGCTTTCAGGTTTGTAGCAGGATACAGGACCAAGAAAAAAGTCAGACTATCTGGCCTGGTGTCAGGAGAGAAATGTGGAATCCTGGAATTAAGATTAAAGGGCTTGGCGAAGGCGGGAACACCTTGAACATGGCCTCAACATTTGAGAATCTTTTCCAGCTGTGGCCAAAGCATGTAAAAAGTCGGCCGTGATTCACCAAACGAGATGCATCACAACGGTGACATATAAGGGCCCTTTTCCAATTCTGCTGCAGATTGAAGGTTTCTCGCATGTACTTTTGGTCGCCCTTATACTCCACCACCGCAAAGCGGCCACTAAGTTCCGGCTTTGACAATGCCAGCTTCTTTTCGCGACTAGTGAGTTCAGAAGTTTCTCCACTAGGCCCAGCAATCGGACGGCGGCCGTGAAAGGCGCAGGTAAGTGACCACGCGGCCCGATGGTAGATGGGCCGTAAAGTCTCCTGGAGGGCATGAATGCAATTTTTCTACGCGTACTGTTTAGCTATCGGGTTTAGGGCCTAGGGAATTGTACGCGGCCTCTTGTTACCCCCAAGAAGCCTGACCTCACCAGCGCAGTGTAGCGAGTTCACAACAAAGTAGGTGAAGTTCTTCTTCCAGGGCTCACCTGCTAGGACTAGTAGGTATTCCCAAGCCCCATGATCCCGCTTTAGCCTTAAATAAACTCTAAACCTACAACACCCCTACACCCTACATACTGACGAATGGCCTTTCATCTTGTGCAGTGTAAAGCTGAACATCAGTGCCAGGAAGCTATCGCCCTGCTTTGTAAATTGCGCCTCATCCCCATAAACCTGGAACAGGGTTTAGCTTCTCTGCGTATACCCTTGGGCCTTCCCAGCCTTACAATCCGCCACAAACCTTAAAGCTTATTCGTGAACCCACTTCACCCAGGGTCGGATATGGGGATGGCATCTTCGGGCGCTGGATGCTTGATGGCCCAGTCAGCACCCAAGGATCTGAAGTGTCGCCAGAATCGCCTGAAGGGAGATTTGTGTTTAGGGTTTTGGGGCTGCGCCATAGGTTTTA